GAGTATGTTTCAAATGAACAGGTTTGAAGGGAGAAATAGACAATTTAAAAACAATAATATTTGAAGACATCGCACTTCACTTTCAATAGTAGCTAGAACAACTAGAAAGCTCAGAAAGCAAACAGAAGGTCTGAATGACCTTATAAAGACCTAGGCTTGACAGATGTGTATAGATACTCCTCCTGACAAACCAAGAGTGCACAATCTTCTTCTCAAGTGTACATTGAAAACTCTTCAGGATATACTGCATACTAAGCCACAAAGAAAGTTTCAATAAATTTAAAAGAATTTAAATAATAAAATGTATGTTTTCCAATCACAATAAAATGAACTAAAGCAACAAAACCAGAAAATCAGATAAATTTCTAAGTAGGTAGAAATTAAAACAACCAGTACATAAGTAATCAATGGGAAAAAAGAAATCACAAAGGAAATTACAAAAATGCTTCTATGCGAATGAGATTAAATGTACAATATATCAAAAATAGAATTAGAAAATCTGCATAATTAAGAATAAGGAAAGATGGTAAATTAATAATCAAAAAAAGTATTGTTAGCCCCAGATTCTCTCACAGGTAARATTTTACTGCATGTTCAAAGAAGAATCAACACTAATTCTCAAGCTTTTCCAAAACATGAAGGAGGAGAAACACATTCTAACTCAAACAATAAAGTGTTTTTCCCTGATAGCAAAAGCAGACAAAGACATCATAAGAAAAGGGAACCACAGACCAAAATCTCTATTGAATTTAGATGTGAAATTCTTCAACACAATGTTGCCAAACCAAATACAGCAATGCATAAAAATGATTTCACACTATGATCAAGTGGGATTTATCTCAGGACACAAGGTTAGTTTAGCATCTGAAAATCAATTAATGTAATGCACCATATCAGCAGAGTAAAAGACAAAAGCATGATTATCTCAATAAAGAGAAAGGAAACAAAAGGAAAAAAAATCAAGTTAAAACCTTTCACGAGAGAAACACTTTAACCATTTAGGAATAGAGCAGAACTTCCTCAACCAGATAAAAGCTATCTATGAAAAATTCATAGCTGACATGATACCTGATGGTGGAAGACTGAACATTTTCCCCCTGAGGTAGGAATGAAATAAGGATGTGGGATCTCACTGCTTCTATTCAACATATCCTAGAGGATCTGCCAGAGAACTAGGCAAGAAGTTAAATGGAAGGCAATCAAATAAAGTATTGGTATCAGCAGGGTTGCAGAATACAAGATCAATCTACAAAAATCAATTGTGCCGAGCGTGGTGGCACAAACCTATAATCCCAGTGGCTCAGGAGGCTGAGGCAAGAGGATTGCGAGATCAAAGGCAGCCTCAGCAATGGTGAGGCACTAAGCAACTCAGTGCGATTCTGTTTCTAAATAAAATACAAAATAGGGCTAGAGATGTGGCTCAGTGATCAAGTGATCCTGAGTTCAATCCCAGTACGGGAAAAAAAAAAAAAAAAAGAGAGAGAGAGAGAGAGAGAGAAAAATCAAGTGTATGTCTATATGCTATAATGAATCATATCTCTAAAATGAAACTAAGAAGAGAATGTCATTTGCAATAATAAAAACTGTAAAAACCTACACAATTTAACAAAAGTAATATAAGACCTGAGATCTAAAAACTAAACAAAAAAATTATTGAAAGAAATTAAAGAACTAAACAGATGTAAAATGTTTATAGATTGGATTATTTAATATAAGATATCAATATTTCTAAAATTGACTTATAAACTCAACACAATCACAGTCAAAGTCCCATATGGCTTCCTTACAGAAATTTACACACCAATCCTAAAACACATATGGTAATGCAGAAATTCACAATAACCAAAATAACCTGATTAAGAACAACAAAGTTGGAGAACTCATATGTCCCAACATCAAAACTTATTTCAAAACTGTAATAATCAAAATAGTATGGTACTTATAAGGCTAGACATAGATTAATAAARTAAAATTTAGATTTAGACTTCAGACATAAACCCATACATTTTAATTAATTATTATATATTTTTTAAAGATTGCCATGAACAGTTCAATAAGAAAAGAATAATCATTTTAGCAAATGGTTCTGGGATATCTGAATATCCACAGTGAAAAGAATGAAGTTGGATTCATTCCTTACATTATACACAAAAGTCAACTCAAAATGGATCACAGCACTAATTGTCAGAGCCCAAAATTCTCAGTGCAAATCTTTATGACCTTAGGTTGGTCAAAACCTTCTTAGATATTGCATGAAAACACAAATGACAAAAGAATAAAAATACATCATTGATCTTCATCAAACTTAAAAATATGCTTCAAAGTATTTGAAGAAAATGAAAATGCAAACCACAAAATGAGAGAAAATATTTTCCAATCATATATCTGATAAGAGATGGGTTCTCAGACTATCTAAGGACTTTCTACAATTCATCTTAATAGAAAGATGATGACCTAATTAAAATAGGATCTAAGTACTACCTTCTTTAAAGAAGATACAAAATTGGTCAATGAGATCCTCAAGAACAGATGCTCAACATCAATATCAGGGAAATTCAAATCAAAACCATACTGAGACATCACTTCACATCATCCATTAGGATGACTATAACTGAAGATCAAAACAAAAAATACGGGGAGTTAAAAAGTGTTGATGAGAATGTGGAGAGATAGAGACACTTGTGCATTGCTAGTATGAAGGTAAAATGATGTAGCTGCTGTGGAAACAGAATAGTGTTTCCTTGGGATTAAAACAAAGAATGAACATTTGACTTAGGCATCCTCTTTCTGAGTATATGTATAGAAAAATCCAAAAGCAGGAACTTGAACAGTGATCTGTATGTCAATGTTCATAAGCAGCATTCTTGGCAACATTCATCCAAAAGTTTGAAAGAGACCTAAGAGCAGTTAACAGGTGAGTGAGTAAACAAAACAAGGTATTTGCATACAACAGAATATTATTTATTCATAAAAAGTAGTGAGGTATTGATCCATGCTAGAGTGTGACTGAGTTTTCTAAAGGAGTCATATAAAATKCGATAGGTTGTATAACTGTATATAGTGAATTTTTGTATGATTCTCTTGTGAATGAATGGGCAAAACTGTAGAGACAGAAAACAGACTAGTGGTTTCCGTAGGTGTAGGTAGGGGAAAACTGGGAGTGACTGCTATCAGGTGTTGAGTTTCTTTTTGAGAAGAGAAAAATGATCTAAATTGATTGTTGTGACGGTTGCACAACTCTGTTCATTTGCTAACCTCCACTAAATTGTACACTTGCATTGGGGATGGTGCTTATTTTATGTTATTGAATCTAYGACTAAATAAAAGAGATCCTAGGCCCCTGAGACAGTCTCCCACCCTTACACACAGACACGATCTACTTCTTTAGGCTGGTGAGAGATTGGTAGGAAAAAGGAAAACGTGAGAGTTTTGTGATGGGCAAGGGGAGGGTATGAGAGAGGAGTTTCCCTTTCACCGTTCTCTTGGTAGACTACCTGGAAACCTGTGAAGTAATAATGCCACTAGACTACACAGGAAGAGGCAGGGCAGTGTGGGCGTGCAAGCAGAGAGAAGTCTTAGGAGGGCACCCACCTAGGATCCCGCCACCTGTCAGACATGTATACAGGCTGTTATGGTTTTGGACTGGATGTGACCCAAAGGCTCATGTGTTGAAGACTTGTTCCCCAGCTGATGACACAGTTGAAAAACATAGGCCACTGGGTGCAAGCCCCAGACAGGGATATCTGGTCTCTTCTCTCCTTCTCTCTTCTTCCCCTGTCACCCTGAGTTGAGCAGCTTTGTGCTACCCCACACTCCTTGCCATGCTGTTCTGCCTCATCTGAAGCCCAAGGTATGGGGCCAAGTGACTATGGACCAAAACCTCTGAAACTGTGGGCCAAGATGAATCTTTTCTTCCTTTAAGTTATTTTTCTCAGGCTCATTGTCACAGTGATGGAAAGCTGAGTAACACACATGGGGAGATTGAAAAAAATCCCAAACAGCAGAGGGACCAGAGTAACAGAGAGAATGCAAAGAGACTGGAATTATGGAAAAGGAGGGTTTCACAGACCTCAAGAATAGAGACTATGACAAGGACAATGGGTTTCCACAATAAATGACTGCAAACTAAATGGAACAGATTTATTGATTGCCAATGTGAGGGTCACAGAGGGTGACAATTACAGACCAAAGGGGACAAGGAACTGCGTGCCTCAGGAGGAATTTGTATTTGCTGTTTGCTATAGGAACAATCATGATGCTAAGCAAGTTTATTTCTGCATTTAAGTAGCGTTCTGAAGATAAGGAGAGAATAATAATCTTAGGAATAAGAAACATCCCTCTTAGAAAATGTACATTTTAAATTGACTGAGTTTAAATTCTGAAACACTGAGATTTTACCCAAAGAATCTGAATGCACCTGGAAGAAACTAACTTTTAAACCAGAAGAGACTAAGCTATCATAACTACTTAAGATTAATTTTCCTTTTCCTGCATTTAAGTGAAAATGGTTGTTGCTAAGCCCTGGAGAAAAACTAGAGAAAGTGACATTCCCTTGCCACTGCGTCAAAATGAATAAACTTTAAACTGCCTGCCATCTGTTATGGAAACAGAATTCACAAGGAACAGTCAGGAGGTGACATCCTCATGACCAAGAAAACAGTAAAATACAGCATGAGTTATCAGGCCAAAGTTGGAAGACCAGTGTGAAAGAGTGAAAAAGGAATGGATTGAAAGTCCGCATGTTTGGAATTGAGTTTGGTGATGCCACTAACTAGTTAGGTGACTTTGGACATTACTTAATATCTTTTGGAACTCATTTGTCCTTAGGGCAGTTGAGTTAGACTAAATCTTAGGTTTTGGACACCCAGTGGGAAAAAGTATGACTCATCTTGGCCAAATTTCAAGGGGAATTGTCGTTTAGTTGATGGAACCCTCTTCTTTTTCCTTGGCCAGAATGTTAAAAGCTGGGCTAAGGGCAGCTAAATATAAAGTTCGATTACCTGAGAGGTGATGTCGGCTCTTACTCTTGCAGTCACATTTTTCAATTAGCTCAGGATTATACACATCACTGTGACAGGTGGCACAGTAAAACAAGGCTCTGGACAATGAAAGCAAATCAAGAATGACTTATGTGAGGCTTCACACTAGGAAGCTATGGTGTACTGATTCAGCCTGCCTCATTATGTTGTATTTGCTTTAGGCACCGCCCACCCCCATAAGGTAATAAAAAAAATTACCTTTTGACTTCTTTTGGAGATTCAGCAATAAAGAATCCTAATGTATTCTTCCGTAGCTTAATTTGTGCAGGTGGATTTAGTATCAGACCACTGAAAATGGAAAACACAAATACAATAACTTTTCCCTCTGATGTCTGAGGATGATTTTCTGTGGTATTTCATTCTGTCATTACCAAGGGACTTCCTAAGTTTCTGAGTTAATAGGACTCAATCTTCTTTTTCTGCCAAACATATTGGAAAATGTGAATGTGACTAAATGTAATCCTTTGTTTGACTGCTACTAAATATGCTGAGGGGACCATGCAACTACCTGACTATTAAGCTGCATACACAGCCACACTGAAGAGAAGTTCCTCCTGGGTTGTGTCATGAATCTAAGATGGTCCAACCCATTCAGACACATGATGCTATGTTGACATGCCTATCAAACTGCAAATAAATCAGGACCTCATAGCTGCCTGTCTTACGGTGATGCTAGGGTTTTTCATCCACAGGCCACACATCTTTAAAATGGAATTATATCTAATTACCCAGCTGGTTTCAAAAGTTCTGTTTATTTATCCATGCAGCTTTTAAAGTTAAACATTTTTTTTTACTTCTTCTTCTTTTTCTATTTTGTTTGCAAGGTTTTTGAGAGCGGGAACCATTCGAATTATGCCTATTCTACATTACTTAGACAATTTGATTCTCTATTTTCTTATTGCTTATATGGAAATTTTGTCTTATAAATTTGTATCTATGATTCTGCTTGCCACAGTATTCTATTATAGTTTTTTTTTATTTTAACATTTTTTTTATTTATTCTAATTTGTTATATATGACAGTAGAATGCATTACAATTCATATTACACATATATAGCACAATTTTTCATATCTCTGGTTGTACACAAAGTAGAGTCACAGCATTGATGTTATTGAGTTTCTCATATTTCTCCCTCTTTGTCTGGATGCTATGGGTGGGAGGRTTCTCTGAACTCATGTTAAATATCTAGCTACAAAGGTATTGTCACAATTTGAGAAAAGAGGTAAACTTTTTTGGACCTTTCCAAACCAGAGTTATTGCTTGATCTTCCCTACTTGGCCAGTTGCTCTATTACAGAATATTTGCCACTGGAACAAACTCATTACATTGCCTGACTAGGGTCAGATCAAACAATCTCTTAGCAGGTGACAAATTATTCCCGAAGACAATGCCTTATGATAGTCCAGGGCATTTGCAAATTTTAGAGCACATTTAAGTGAATCAGTTATAAGTGAAAATGAATGAAGACAAAAGATAGGTTTCCCCTGGTATTTCAATACACTGGCCTGAGGCCCAGCTATTGAGATGTCTAGTCTTCTTTCTACCAATAGTGACTGAGGTGGATTGAGTACAGAATGGTGATCAGAAGCATAGTCCCTGGAGCCAGATTGTATGCATTCAGAACCTGGCTTTGCCACTTGAGAGTTGTGTGAACTTGGAAAAGTTAATTAATCTTTCTGAACAACCACAAAATGGAGCTACTAATTACACACATTGCACTGCATGATTAGAGGACATGAGAATGAATGTACCTAAAATGCCTATGATCATGAAGCAGCAGCCATGTGAGAGATTACTATAATCAATACATTCCCCAAGCCAGGATTTAATCCTTTTGATTCACTTGACTTTCCAATGAGAAACTAAAGTGAAATCTATTGGAGCAGGTCCTTTTTCCATTAAGGTAGATGTGTAGTGGAGGTAAACAGCACCAGGACCTCTTTAATCCACGTGGAAATTGGCTGCCTGCGAAACATTCATGTCTCTGGTTTGTAATGTCCTAATCGTCATTTTAATAAAGCTTAAAGAAACCTAGAGTGTTAGAGTTGGAAATGATACGAACAGCCTGTGGTCCAAAGGCCAATTTCCAGAGGCTGGTGAATAAACTGGAGAAATTATAGAGATTTTAAAAATGTCTGAGGTCCCACCAYGGGAGATTTTGATTTTGTAGTCAGATAAGGGATTTGGGAATCTCTTTGTCCTTTGAATTTTGAAAATAATTTTGATGCATAGCTCAGGTTCTTGAAGGCCAAGGATGTTACCAAAACTTGATAAAGTTTTTGCCAGTCAGAAACCCAAACTGCCTGGTTAAATATTCTGACACTATTCTTTTAATGAGGACCTGTTTCTSGTAGAAAGTCCCATTTCTGCAGATGTTTAGATACATAGGTTTAAATTGTGAAATTTTCTTGAAATAGTGAAATTCTGTTGAAATTGAGATCTTCTTGAGCACGAAAAAACTGTTAAACAGATTTGGCCGATCAAACAATAGGTTACTCTCTTCCTAATGAATCCAACTGATGGTACCCCACTGATTTCTTTTGCCCGACTACCTTCTGCAACTTCCCTATTCAGAGAGTGCTTTTCTTCTTTCAAGCCATTTATGCAAAATAACTCCTTCACGGTGTATCTGAATTACTTAATTTCTAATGTTTCCTATAATTCTAGGATTTCTTGTAATACCAATTTTAGAGCTGGCAGGGGTCTTAGAGATTCATGAACTTTCCTTCTTCAATCTACAAAAAATGAACACTTCTCAAAGGCCACAGGGCTAACAAATCATAGTGGGAGTTTAGTGTTCTGATTTTAATTTGGCTTGATTTAATTCTCCATACCACTTAGTCACCACTTTATATTTTGGCATTTTTATCTCCATATTACTATAGTTGATTCACTTTCCTTCTTACTTCTCTCATTTATGTTTATGTACTTCAGTTCATCCTGAATTTTATTATTTATTACATGACAACTTCTTATATTATCCACTTACAGTTTCTCAAAAAATGAGAATGGTCTGGTGATGTTACCTTTTTCTTTCATCAACCTTATCAACCAACAGCAGACTTTGTTCAGTAGAAAAGTCAAGTTCCCATTTTATGAGATGTTGCATCTTATTTTCTAAGGCTAGAGTTCATGGGAGTATTTTTCTTCCAAATAATACTATTTCATGGTATTGATTTATGGTCAAGACTTTCAAGATCTGATAATGTTGTTAAAAGGAACAACTCTGAGACTTGACCATTTCTACTCTCTCCTGCTCATAAGGCAGAACCATGGCATGGTACTAGGAACAAAAACAAAATGGTCAGCTACTAGGAAAACCATTCTAAAYCATAATTCAAGACAGCACCAAGAGCACCATAGCAATGGGACCCTGGGTTGGGTGCCCAAGAGACTGGCTTAGTTATGTCTCTCTCTATATATCTTTATATTTTTTATGGCCAAAAGCTTAGTTATGTTTCTATCTTTAAGAAATTCTTAATCATAAAGCTTTTTCTCAAACAAACACACAAACAACAAAACAAAACAAAACAAAAAAACGGRAAGAAGCCTTATTGGTACCAGTAACCACTCTGGAAGAGGGACTTGTATTCGATGGCTATGAGCATAAGGTTCATCTTCACAAAGCAGAGCCTAGGAAGGAAGACAAAGAGTTGTGAGAGGACAGAGAGAGAAGCAGGGTGCCAGTTTACAAGGCTATGACTAACCCTGTGTTCCATGCTGGGGAGAAAAGCAGTTTTCCAATCCTCCTGAAGGCACACTGAGCCAGTGTACCAACTAGGACTGACACAAAACTATCCTTCATGCATAGTATCCTTGCAGGGACTCCGAGTTATTCATTCTTACATTTTCAGGGTTTGTCACGGACTCTGGCCTACAGTGAACCCTCCATGAACAGTGTGGAAAGAATGCTGTGGTGGCAAGAGTGTGGGAAAGTATTTCACTCAACTTACCGGGAAACCTCCGGAAAACTCATTCCAGCAAAGTCATCAGAGAGACGTTGAGTCAGGATTTTGTTCTTCAGGCTATTCAAGAAATATTTTTGCCAGGTCTGTTTAGGAGAAATCTGTAACACATAATCATGTTCCATGGAAGGTGTGCATACAGGTTGAATATATTTCTAAGCAGCAAACCAGTTTCCACAGAAAGGAGATATGTTGTAAAGTACAGTCGGACAAATGTTAAAGAAAGAACTGAAACAATTTTCACTAAAAAGTTCAGAAGGAGGAAGATACACCATGACTAATTTCCTTCCCAGACAGTGTCTTGTTATGRTTTGCAAATGAGAAATCCCTCCTCAAAGCTTCTGTTAATGCAAGAATATTCAGAGGTGAAATGATTAGATCTTGGGAGCTCTCACCTAATGAGTACATCCTAGTTTGAATGACTGGCTGGTCACTGTAGGCAGGCGGGACATGACTGGAAAAGATGAGTCACTGGGCRGGGGTGCCCTGGAAGGGTGCATCTTTCTTATGATTCCTATATCCCCATCTCTCTGTGCTTCCTGATCTCTCCAGGAGCTGACCAGTTTTCTTCTGCTGGGCCCGTCCGCCCATGATGTGCTGCATCACCTTAGGCCCAGAGTAATGGAGCTGGGCAAAAATGAACTGAGACCTCTGAGACTGTAAACCCCAAATAAACTTTTCCCCCCTCTAAGTTGTTCTTGCCCAGTATTTTGGTCACAGCAAAAACAAAACAAATAAACAGACAACAACAACAATAATTAAAAAAAAAAAACCTATCTACAACAGCATTTGAGCCTCTGGTTGAGGATTAGAATTCTTCTCTCTGGTCCACTCCTAATTTCAGCACAGTGGTCTGTGTGTTTGAGTTAGTGACAACGATAAGATGGGAGCAATAATGAAGAATCGAAGTTTTCTCTCTCCGGAGGTGATTGTTTAGAACGAGTTTTGAAACATCTTGGTTTTCTGCTGATGAACCAGATACTACAAAGAAAAATAATCATGCCTTCTACCCAGAATAAGAATCCTTTATTGATTCAGATGAGTTCAAAGATACAATTTGATGAATGGCAATAATAATGTAAAAAATCAAAGATAGTAGTAGACTTCTAGACAATTGGGAGAGGTGAAGGGGAAGGTATGTCTTAATAAAGGCTGAATGTAGACTGAAGGGAGGTTGTTGAGTGACTCCTCCTGGACTTGGCGTAAGACCCTTCTTCATCCTTGCCACTTGCTGACATGAGAATTGCCACCACGCTGTTCTCATAGATACAGCACAAGTCCCTTACAATCCAGAGTCTCAGATGAGAATCTGAATTTTCTATAGACTCTGGAGCATTTTCTCAATTTTTTTAATTGACTCTTTTTGTTACATAACTTTAGAATTCATTTTGATGTGATTATAAAAGCATGGAATAGACCTTGCTCTAATTCAGTCACCAGTACTTCCCTTTACCCTACCCTCCTCCCTCTGCTCTCCTGATCTTTTTGCTATCTATCTATCTATCTATCTATCTATCTATCTATCTATCTATCTATCTGTCTGTCTGTCTGTCTGTCTATCTATCTATCTATCTATCTGTCTATCTATCTATCTATCTATCTATCTATCTATCTATCTAATTAGTATCTTGTGGATATACATGATGGTGAGATTCACTGTGGCACATTCTTATATGTAGATAAGAAAGTTAGGTCAGATTCATTTGAGAAAGGAAAAGCATTGGGCGGTGGGTGGGGGAGTTCAACCGAAATAAAAGAAAGATCAGTAAAGAACAGCAGAGCATTCTCACTGTGGAGAGTAATGGCCCCTTCAGAAATTCTCCTTGGATGGTCMTCTTGTGGTTCTAAAACTGGCCTGGCTAAGAAGGACCACTTATTTCAAATAACTCAGCACCTTGCCCTGACCCTCTTCCTCCACACCAAGATTCAGCTGACTCTTCCCATTTTCCAATCTCTTCACTTCCCCTCCTAAGGAGGGCTCCCCTCATTTGGCAGTTCACACCACCACTGAAGTCTAAATTACCAAGGGAGTTGGCTTGGTGCTTCCAATCTTTTACCGTTTCAATTTTTGTAAGAAGGTAAAAATAACAACCATGGAGATGGCGAAAACTTCCTGAGTTAAGAGATCAGGGAGGAGAGCATTAGGATTCTGGATAGAAGAATCCATGAGTTCAAGGCTCTGAACCTGTAACCAACTAGAAACAGTTTTCAGACTACAATTTTTCACAATATTAAACATATAATTAAAACACATGGGATTGGTTTAATGTCTTCTAATCTGAGTACTCATAAGTTTTATAGACATTAATATTTGGAAAACTGAGAGTGTGAAATTAATGATCCTCATTTTATTGATGGAAAAACTGACAGGGAAAGTATGTACCTAATTTGAGAAAAATGCGACATAAAACTTTGAAGTCCTGGTACTAAACCAAAGTCAATGGGTGTGTTACAGACTCTAAAGCACCAGGGTAGAGTATAGCTTTAAATCTTGCCCTGATTCTGTCCAGTTTAGGGTTTTTGAATTTTTGAAGGAGTTTCAGACTTTATTTTATTTATATATATATATGTATAATATACATACATACATATGTTTGTATGTGTATATATATGTGTTTGTGCATATATATACACACACATATATACACATATTATATATATGTATAATATACACACATAGTGTGTGTATGTGTATACACATATGTGTGTGTGTGTGTCTATATATTTATCAAAGCTTATTTCCTACTGCCTGATGGTCATCTCTGTCCTAATGGGCATCTACCCACCCTTTTTAAATACTACTAGGGATTGAACCCAGGGTGCTTTATCACTGAATTTCATCTCCTACCATTTTTCTTTCTTAATTTATTTTTAAATTTTGAAACAGCATATTGCTAAGTTGTTGAAAGCCTTGATAAATTGATGAAGTTGTCCTCAAACTTGTCATCCTCCTGCCTTAGCCTGCTGAATTGCTGGGTTTGTGCYACTTTGCCAGGTGGTTATCTCTTTTTGTCTGTATATTAGATTTGTTTATGTTTATAGAAGGAATTTCAGAATATTTGTTTCAGTTAGCATTTTGCTAGCTATTGGATCTTTTACCTTTTTTTTTTTTTGCTTTTCCTTAATAGCACTGGGAAAGAATATGAAAAGATGCAAAAATCTGTATTTAACAGAGGAAATAATTCCCAAAAGGTGGCCAAGAAGGAAATGGGGTATACAAAATAGCAGACCTGAATTCAGAATTAAATGGACAGAAAAGTCACTCTCAGGAAGGCTTCTGGAATACCAGGCCCAGTCCAGGGTTTGAACTCTTCTCTTGGAGCATTGCATCAGAATGGCATTTGGATGATATTTAAGTCAGCTTTCCAAAGTGTCCAAAGGGAATGGGAAGAACAACTTAGAGGAGGAAAAGTTTATTTTGGTTCATGGTTTTGGAGGTTCAGTCCTTGGTGCACTGACTCCATTGCTCTGGGCCCAAGGTGAGTCAGAGCATCTTCGCCAATTGGCATGGTGGAAGAAAGCGGCTCAGGACAYGGAAACCAGGAAGCAARGAGAGAGGRGACTTCCYTCCCTGGAGATAAAATATAAACCCCAAAGGCACGCCTTCTAGTGACCTCCCTGCCTGCAGTTACCATTAATGTATTATTAATGGATTAATCCACTGATTAGTTTACAACTATAAAAATCTAATCATTTCACCTCTGAACATACTTGCATCGTCACACACATGAGTTTTGGGGAGATACCTCACATCTAAACTATAACAGATGACAACACTTTGTGCTGTAGAAGTTCATCCCAACAGGATCTTAGGCCCTTACTTTGTCTCAGGAAAAGATATCAAAGGCATGATGTGGAAGACGATGGGTGGATACCCAATAGTAGAGGCAAAGGGCATAATGGCAAGATTGTGGATCCAGGAATTCTTGGTCTCCTTTTCACTAATTAACTATACAATCAACTTAGTTAGCTTCACAATCCACTGCTAGGATATACATTAACATATCCCTGAGGGGAAACAACTCACACAGTAAGTACTCATCAGTGATTACTGTTTTTACTACTGCAGGGAYTTTCCCAAAATAATCTGGAAAATTAGATTTTAGTTATTATTTGTATCATATATATATTATTAACATAAATTATTATATTATTYGTATTTTATTTAAATTTAAATATGACTTCTCTGCTAGTAATAGGATATTTATTTTTCTACCTTCCATAACTCCATGTGCTTCCAAAGTTTTGAATGTATTTACATTGATAGCATTCTGAAATGTAGGGAAGAAGAATTATGATTTCTGTTTGCAAATAAATACTACAGAAATAAGACAAGTGACTTCTTTAAGACCAAAGAAGAACCTGGAACTTCAGTCTAGATCTCTCAATCTCTTCTCAGATCAAGCAGAAATCAAATCTCGTTTATTGGGGACTTACTTCTTGCTTTCCTCAATTTTTTTTTCTATTTGTGATCCTAAWATGTGGGACATGGGAAAGGAGCCAAGATTCAACATCAATTTATAAAGTTACCTTTTTGTTTTGCTCAACAAATAAAGACGTTAGAAAGGTACACAAGCCTGGCACCAGACAGCCTTGAGCCATAAATCCAAGCTTTAATTCAGCAAAACAGATGATGTTGTCTCCAGTACTCCAGTTCCAGCTGGGAATCTTTGGCAGGAAATCCTGTTTCATGGTAGAAAGTAGGTCAAGCATTAAGAATACACACATACCTCAATAAAGCTCTTGGCAGATTTTATTTAATTTTCCTTGAAATCATTTACTCTTCATTCTTGGGAATAAATGTGGTGCTCAGGTCAAGGAATTATAAGAATAATTGGAAAAGTGGTTAGTGTTTAATTKCTCTTACTTTTCAAGACAAAAATAGCTGGAGTTGCAAAATTAGGTCAGATGGCTTAAGGTAATTCTGATTCCCATTGACATCTTTAAGTGATCAACAATCTTAATCATACACCAAATTTCACCTATGATTGGTAAATATTTTCTAATTTGTAGATCCATTAGATGGTAATAGGGTTCACATAATCTCAGTAGGAAGAGGTTGARCATTCAGGGGTGTCACTTTACCTTGTTATGGGACTGAAGGATTTGTATGATGACTCTAGTCTTTGGGTAATAGTTTTTGATAGAGAGCACCCTGCAAAAGCCACAATTACTCTCATTAGTGAGCTGTCATATTGACTCTGAATTATAATTCAAATAAGTTAAAATGTCAGGTGGGTAGTTTAGGAAAACTTAGTATATTACAAAATTCAGTGTTCTGTTATTTCCTAAATTTGTTCTATTTAATAGCATGCACAGAAGAGTGCCATATTTGGGTGGCTAAGTAAATCAAATCTATAAAAATGTCAGTGYTTGGAAAGAGAAGACTATGGTCTTCTGGAACAAGTTCTTGGGAGAAAATAAACACATCCTTTAGCCTTTAAACCCAAACACAATAATTACAGAAAAAAAGCAGATTTATTTGCTATTTATAGTTTGAATAGCTCATAGAACGTCTACTTCAACTTTCTCATTTTATGAATTAGGAAACTAAGATTTATTTTATATGCCGTGTATTATGCATGGTGCAAGTTCTCAGCTTTTTATTGCTATGTGCAGAGGCATCTTCAGCTATGTATATTTATTTTGCTTTGACTGGAAGTGCATGTGGATTAGGCACTATACCATTGCCCTCACAATCAGTTGAATCTCTGCCAGCACAAGTCAAGTTCCTCCTCATCTCATATAAGCTCATAGTGAAAAGATGGAAACACTCTATGCATCCTAAAAATATTTGTCAATATTCACAAGTACATCACACTGAACTGAAGGGAAGTCCTAATAAATAAAGTRCATTAATAGTATTCATAAATGGGAATCTTTGCTTTTGAGGAGGAGAGACTCTGTATCATAACAGTGCTATCTAAACAGTAATCAGTTATTTGTATGCTTGCTTTTAAAATTCAGATAGCTAATAATCATGTGAAGTACCAGGCAGAGGACAGCCTATGYAGGGGGATGGAGAGTTCAAGGCCAGTCTTAGCAACTCAGGGAGGCTCTGTCTCTAAATAATAAAATAAAAAGGGATTGGAGATATTGCTCAGTTGTTAAGTGCTCCTGTAGGTCCAATCCCYGATATATATCCTGTTTAGTCCTGTGCCCTGCAATTTGTTTTAATAGAGGTAGAACAAATATCAGCATTGGAACATAATGCCAGCTTCTTACCTCATAATATTTGAAGTGTCTTCAGCATGTAAATCACTGCACAAGGGGTTGGCTATAATCAAGCATGCTTCCGCAGACTCCACCTACTCTTCAAGATTAAACAGCAACTGTCTTGTTAATTATGTGGGAAATATTCTACTGCTCCCCTCCCCACTTTTTTATATTGTAATCCTAAATTTGCCAATGAGAAAGAGAACACACTTGAAAAGGAATTTTAATAAGGCTGCCTTTATATCAGGATCACACAAATGCTGCAGATCTCAGAGGACTCCAGTGGATGGACCAGACCACAGGGTCTCTAATGCAGACGTAAGGTTGATGTAAAGTGGGTTAAGTACAAAGCTGTGCTTTTCCTGCCATCATCGCCATTGTTTTATGTCTTGTGATGAGCAGTGAGACCTTTCCAGCAACTGCTTGTATATTTATTTACCTTTTAAGACAGCTGAGATGGAAATCTTAAGATTCTAGGAAATTATGGAAAATGGTGCTTATAATATGGAATGGTAAGAGAGAGAAAGGTTACATGGTATCTGTCATTTTTCTGATTCAAGTGTTTATACTTGTTTTGCTTTAAACTGAAATGTGTTGGTTTATCAGGTCTATGAAACTTAGAACATATTAGGCAGCTGGCTTTTACCTAAAACCAAACCTAATTAAAGGGTCAGCTATTGCTCCTTACTTATAGTCACTATCTTAATGGGGTTTCTGCTGTTTTCCTTCATGCTTCTATAAGAAAGTGTATTAGGATGCTTTGGAGAAATTGGTTAAAGCTGATAGATGCTTTTGTTTTCTTTATTGGTTCTTTTGAGTTATACATGACAGTAGGATTCATTTTGACATAATTATAAAAGMATGGAATATAATTTGTTCTTATTCAGTCCCCAGCACATCCCCTTCTTTCCTTCTGCCCGCTGTTCCCTTCCCTCTGTCCTACTGATGTTTTTGACATTTACTTACTTATAGTTTTTTTTAAATTAGTGTCTTGTGTGTGTACGTGATGGTGAGATTCATTATGGTATGTTTATGTATGTGCATGGGAAAATTAGGTTAGATTCATTCAACTGTCTTTCCTCATCCCATCTCTCCTCCCTTTCTTTCACTCCTCTTTGTCTATTCCACTGATATTTCTTGTATTCTGTTCTTTATCCCACCCCCAGCTTATTTTGGATTAGCTTCTGCATATCAGATAAAACATTTAACCTTTACTAATCTGTCTTCTGGTAAGAATCCTCCTTGGGTGGTAAGATAGAACACTTTTGCTATTCATAACTTTTTCAGATCTCAGAAACTTGTAAAACTATCCTAGATAACTTAGTGAAATAATTAAATGTAAGTATCTGGAATAATAGCTGTTGAAGTAGCAGTGTACACTTATCATCTTAAATGTTGTGGTTTATGGAAACAAGAAGGAAAAGAACAAAATCTTACCGCAACTCGCCTCAGATCCTCCCACTTCAGTGCAGACCCAGAGATAAAAGTTGTATAGGCCAAGTAGCATTTAAATATAGTCTCCAATTCCAAAGAAGGAGTGACCCTGGTTAAAAAATATGTGGTGACAAAGACGGGAAAAAGATGACTGGCTTAGTTTTAGAGGTTGTTGAACTTATTTAGTGCATTTACTAAAACCCTAGTTTCCTCTTGGAAAACATCCATCTTTCATTATTAACCCATGTGATTAGGTGATGCTAACACAAACTACCTAATTCCAGGGGCCGAGTCTGTAGCTCAGGCCTAAGCAATCAGTGATGTGAGAAAATACAAATCAAGGTAGTGTCATAGAAACAATAAATAAATTAATAAGTATGAAAAAGTTTACTATGTGATCTAAGATTTCAAAAGATATAACATTTTAAAACAAATGTGAACTTCATATAATGTTTTCTAAATATATAAAGCAAAAATAGACAAAGTCAGAGAAAGAAATTAAATCTGCCAATGTCATGAGTAATTTCAACAAATCTCTCCCAGTTTTTGACAGATCAAGCAGGAAAAAAATCATCAAGTATTGTGAACACAATAGTTTGATATTTATTAATCCTATAATCAACATATAGAAAACTTGATATTTTCAAGGACACAAAAATACTTAAAAATGATAATAAGTTGATAAAAAAACACTTCAATACATTACAAAAATGTTACTGTACATATTATGATCTGTGACCTGAATATATTTAATTTATAAGTTAAAAATCATAAAATAAATAAAAACTTTCTTCTTATTTAAAAATTAACTGGTAAAAATTTTGCAGGTTAAGATGAAATTAAAATATTTTTAAAAATTATTCTTAGAAATAAATTGTGTTGAAAATATTAAACATAAATGCCATTGGATAAAATAATAACAGTTCTTTAGGGGAAATGTATAGTTTTGGACACTAACATTAGAATAAACTCAGAGAAGATCAACAAAGTCAAAAGTTGCTTCTTTGAAAAATAACCTAATGTTACAGGCAAAAATGATAAAACAAATGGAGAAAAAAGAAAAGACAAAAATGGCTTATAAATTGAATGAAGAAGACATCATATATATAGGTAAAGTAAATGTCATAAGAAATTAAATAAATTATACACATAGGATTGAAAAGAAGTAAATGAACTGCCTTTATTTGGAATGATTTATTTTATAATTTACACTGAAGCACCTAATACTACTACAGAAAAATTAAAAATGATAGAGAAATTTATGTGTATTAATATACAAAAGTTAATTAGGTTTTTCTATACCATATATACACACATACATTTATGTACATAGTTGTATGCATATGCTCTCTACCTATAAATCCACCCCATGTTATTAAGAGACAATACATGAAAGCTAAATAAATGGATAGCCACAGTACTATTAGACTTGCAAAGAGTGTAGCATAAAGAAATCAATTCTGAATTCTAAAGTTTCAATCAGATTCACATCACATTTCTACATTTTTTAATAGTACACAATAAAGCTATTATAAAAGTTATATGAAAGATAATGCCCAAGAAAAGYTTGTCAGCTGTTGTAGAAAATGAAAGAAATAAAGGATAGAAGACTCACCATAAGATCTTCAGCAATAAAAACATTTATTACTGATKAAAATATAGATAAATTGATAAGATAGAAAGAAAAGAAAAGACCTATTCACAGTAGTATCAAGTCAGATCCCTGAGTAGGCAAAGGCTTTGTTCAATAACTGGCATTGGCAAAGAAACAAGTAAGATTTTATGCATGTATCTTACCATATAAAAATGGAATTCTTATGAAATTAGTAACTTAAATGAGGATTTTTWAAAAAATTCTTAGAGGAAATTTCATTTAAATGTAACTAAAATATTAGAATAAGAAAATATTTTCTAGACAAAATTAAAAAAATGTCAAATATAAAAAATTGTGAATTTGACTATAATRATATTAATGATTTTTAAATATCAAAGATATTATAATTGGTGAAAAAAGAAGTTTCAAACTGGAAGAAGATATTTGTAAGTTGCATAACTGATGAAGAATTAGTGCAAAAATTACACAATTCTACAAAATAAATTATAACCCCCCCACAAAAATCAAGTAGAAAAGTGGACAAAACAATAAATGGAGTTAAAAACTCGATGGATGGGTTTGTAAATAGATTAAACACAGATAAAATGACAATTAGAGAACTGGAACCTAGGTCAGAATAAAGTATCCAGAGGTACAAAAATTTTTTAAAATGAGACATAAATATAAAAGGGAAATATATTTGAAACAGCAAAAAAATTTTGAATGAGAAATAAATATAAAAGGAAAATATATTTGAAAAAGCAAAACATAAAAGACAAGCATAGCTAGATTTAAGAGTCCCAGAAGTGAGAGGAGAAAATGGTGACATAGCTAATACATAAATAAATAATTGAGAATCTTCCAGAAGTGRTGAAGACAGCAGTCCAGAGATACAGGAAGATTTATGAATGCTAATCATGATAAATGAAGAGAAAATCAAACCCATACACATTAAGCTACTTTTTACAGTAAGTAAAACACATGATCTTCTAAGAAGATAGCTCCTTAAAGAGAGAGTTCAACTGACTTCCTAATAGCAACAATAAAATACAGAAATCAGTGGAATAATAATTCCATGGTTATTAAAGAAAAAACCTGTCAGTTTATAATTTTATATCCATGAAATTATCTTTCAGTAATCAAGAGAGAAATAATAAATCATTACATCATCATCATCATCATCAACAAAAATTTGTTACTGGAAGATTTGAATTTAAGAAAAATGTAAAGGTTTTATTTTTGATAAGAATAAAAATGGGAAGGAAGATCAGAGATGCAAGAAGAAATAGAAAACAATTAAACAGGGTAAATTTAATGAAAAGTAGCATAGAGCCATGAATTGATAACTTTTTTGAACATTAAATAAGTAGAATCACGTATATAATTTACAAAGTTTTATACTGCACATTATCTTAYATAAATAAGAAAAAGACTACAAATTCAAGAGAAAAAAATGGAGAACATAACAATCATTTCATTTCAGAGATTCTATATGACTTAGAAATATGGAAATATGCTTGGCCTCATTAATAAGAAGAAAACTTAAATAAAAACCATAACAATAGACCATCATTTTATAAAATAATATTCACAAGAATGGCTAAAGATTTTTWTTAGCATTAGACAGGATATAGTGTTCCAGTTCCAAGTGTTGGTAAGATGCAGGACAACAGCAATTTCTGTGGTTGCTGGAGGAAATACAGATTGGCAAAAACATTCTGCAGAAGATTGTGTTACAGAAAGATATTTAAGCTTTATATTTTGCAATTTTATTCCTGGTTAACAGGACACAAATATGAGAATTTCCACAGCACTATTTTTCATAACAGCAAAAATATGTTGGGGCTTAGGGGAGGGGAATGCCACCAACGGTAGAGTGGATCCAGAAAAATTGCAGTGTATTCATATAATGGAGTCATGTAGTACTAAGCAATGAAAATAAGTGTGGCCCTATCTAGTTGCCATGTGGATGAAACTTACAGATTTAATGTTGAGCAAGTAAATTTATAACCTATTTACATGTTTTCAAAAAYGAAAAAAAATATTCTAAATGAACATAGGAGATGTGACAATTAAATATTATAAGATATAATGTTGGAAATGTAATTTGAGGACTAACGATGGGGTTGTAATTGGACAGCGTCATAATGGTTAACTATCAAGGGAATAATTCTTGATTTGAGTGGTAGTTACATGAACATTCACTTTATAGTTATTCATTTAAAAATATATCTTAATTCTWTGTAATAAAAGCAGCATGATATTGGCACCAAAACAGGCATGAAGATTGATGGAATAGAATACAAGACACAGAGATAAATGCACATAAATACAGTTATCTCATATTAGACAAAGGTACCCCAAACTGGAGACAATCATACTAAGTGAAATAAGCCAATACTAATAGACCAAAGGCCAAATGTTCTCTCTGATATATGGATACTGACACACAATGGGAGTGGGGGTGGAGGAGTGGGAATAGAAGTTCATTGGATTGGACAAAGGGAAATGAGGGAAGGGAGGGAATGATGGGAATAGACAGTAGAATGAATTGGACATAACTCTCCTATGTTCAAATATGAATACATGACTAGTGTAACTMCACATCATGCACAACCACAAGAATGGGAAATTATATTCCATGTATGTATAATATGTCAAAATACACTCTACTGTCATGTATTTCTAAAAAGAACAAATTTTTTAAAGGCACCCAAAACATACACTGGAGAAAAGATAGCCTCCTCAAAAAATGGTGCTGGGGAGACACGCGTGGAAGCCTAGCCTCTGGCACAGGACCACCTCTTCCAACCAGCAGACTACCAGGGGAGYCCAGGCCCAGCCCAGATCTGACCATACTTACTTTCTCAGGACCCAGGTAAAGGGTAGGTCTGAGTTTGCTGCCAACTCTCCCACATCTGGGAGCCTACGCCTAACCCACTCCCAGCTTGGGATACAGCCGTCATCACCATAGCCTTCTTCATGCCATAGCCCCTAAATTTTTGACAATAGACAGGGCCTAGAAGCAGCTGCATCTCAGAGCAGGCATCCAAAAGGGACTGTGAGACCCACCCTTTCAGTCCCATCTATGTAACAGATTGCTTCCATCTTGGGGCACCTTAACTATTATCTCGAGTTACCTCGGCTATTGCCACCACCACCTTTAGATTCCGTAGCATACATTGGAGGACACCAGCAGGGTCTAGAAGCTCAACATCAAGGTGAGGTACAGACAATCTGTAAGGGTACTACAAGAATATAAGGAAGAAACTGTAATATTGCAGATACACACTGCAAGAAAGGAAGACACATAGACAACATGAAGAAACAAGGGAGGAAAGTGCCCCAAACAAACCAGGATACTATAATAACAGAACCCATGAACAGAAAAGTTGATGAAATGTCAGAGAAGAACTTCAGAAGGTTCATAATTAAAATTATCTGTGAATTAAAGAATGACCTAAATGAGCAATTACAGGCACAAATTGATCACTCCAACAAAGAGGTAAGAGAGC